AATTGTGTCCACTTAATATCTCTGTTGAAGTGCAGATAATGCCCTTACCTAAAGGAATCACAGGGAAGATTTATGTAAAAAAGGAAAAAAAAAAAAAAAGAAAAAAAAAAAGTAAAACACTACAGATGCAGAACATTTTAACATAGCGAAAGTAGATCTACAGCACTACAGCATGCTGAAAAATTGATAGTTATGTACACCTACATCCCCATTGAAAGAACACTGATGAGATCACTTAAATAAAGCCACATACTCAGTTCTTACTTGGACTGCACACATGATGTTATTTGTATTAATTATACTTGCATTATTCCTTTTTCTTTACTCACATGTTAAGTTTTGCTCTCAACAAATATTTTCTACGGAGAGAAACATGCCATTTTCATTTGTTTAAAGGATTTGTGACCGATATGTTCCATTGAATATTTACATTCTTAAAGTTAATCCTTAAAATTGTGTGTAATTTTAGGCACAAGTCAGTGCAATTTCAGTTCAGTCTCATTCTATTGCCAAATTGAGTTTGTAGATAAAAAGAGAATATCAGGTGTTCAAAACTGAGCAAAATAAGCAGTAGGATACAGAAGCAGCATGCATTTACTGCTATTCTCTTAGTCTGTAACATATTTTGAGTTAGTTATGCTTGAATTTGATTGAAATGTATCAATGTGTTATAGAAACACCGAATGTTCATTCTCTTCTCCAAGGACTTCAAAGACAATTGAAAAATTGTGTTTTAATTCCTAACTTACGAAGTCAAAGGTGTGGAACAGTTTACTTGAAAAGGTCTATGTAGATACACATACATACACACATATATATACATATACACACACACACATGTATATAGATAGGTCTTCCCCCTCACACCACTCCCCCCTTTTTTTTTTTTTAGCATATATTTGGATTTGCTCACTGAACTGCCAGTATTGCACAAGTATGACAGACACACATGTGGAAAATATTCAGCTGATAACATACAGATTGCCTTCAGACTCAGATCAGCCTTATTTAGGGTCCTGCTGCTATTTATTTTTTAAAATCTTATGCCAAATAACTCAGAAGGAGGGGTGGAAAAAATCACTGAAGAAAAACATGAAGTTACTTCCAATTTCAATATTATCCAGATCTGTAATACAGATTGGTTTTTCTTGCTGAAGCATCAGATAGAGTACTCCTTCCAGGATTTCCTATCAGCAATGATTGGAACTGAATGATCTTTCCATACACAGCTTAGCCTCCTTTTTAATTTTAGTTTATTTTTGCCCTTGGTAACTTTGGCTGCCAGTTCTCAGTTAAATTTTTCTTGGTATGTACAGATACACTCCTGTTTGCAATTTCAGTGTGCACAGTGTCTTTATTTCACTGAACTGCTTCATTAGCTGACTCTGTGGAGCTCATCCCCCTGTAGCTACATGTCACTTGATTCATACAATCGTAACGCTTTATACCATGGGAAAGATAGTATAAATGCCCACCTTCTGCACATTTCTAAAGTTGTTCACACAAGCTTCTTCTTTTCTCTATGTAATCAGACTCATCACTTCAAAATATCATTATATCCAGAGTGACTTCTAAAAATGACTGACCAAACTCTACCTGGTAGCATACATCCAGTTCTTAAAAATAAAATCGGCCGTGGAATTTCTTATAAGCTTTCTCTGTTTGGTCACATTCCTCCTGAACTGGTTTGCTTGAAGATAAATTCTTTTCTGAGAACTGATGCAGTGCTGTGAAGGAGCTGTATGAAGTGCTTTTCCCTGCAAATGTCATTTTATTGACACAGAGCTTTCTATACTATTGTGTTGTTAAGGTAGGTTTTTTTAAGCGTCTGAATAATCCTGTTTAGCACTGACTAATGAAAGCAACTTCTCTCCCTTTCTCTGTTATACTACTCATAGCATTTCCTTTTCTGAAGGTTTTCCCTGATGCAAATTGAATATTTAATCATAATTGTTTTGTGTCTTTGCCTCTGTTCTCCTTAACCCATGGTTATTTGTGCACTTTCTAAAGTTTCTAAGAGGAACTCTGCTATATCTATTGAAAATTGAATAAAACGTATCAGGCACTTTACACCACTATTTTCACAAAGCATGCGGCAACAATAGGGCAATAAGAACTTATTAATGTGGGTGGGGAAAAAAAGACTGGAACAGAGACTGAAACAGAAAACCTCTCGCCTCAGACAACAAACATTCACAGCAATTATATTTTAATCCTAACAAAAAAAGTCCCATTGGGAGAAAAAATGTTTTACTGCTTTCTCTGAAGTGATACTTTGTAAGTGCCCAAGTTCACAAATAGCAAAACTCAAACAGTTGGAGAATTCTGTATCATCTCCTTGCTGCAAAATGTGACTTGCTGTCAGCTTGTTTTATTATGGAAATAACCTCACATCCAGCAATGATAGGCACAACTTACACTCATTAACCTGTAACATACCCACTGCCATTCAGTAATTTACTGATAGCAACTTACATGACAAGCCAGAAGCCTGCATTTTCCAACTCTGAAGGCAAATATCAGCTAGAGACAGATGAAGAAGTTTGCTGGCTGTATAGAATCCAATATATTGTTTACACTGACAAAGCAGTTATGTGACCAGCTGTGCCCCACTGACTGTTTCCAGATAATATGTGTAGGTGTTACCTGGCTTTAAAGGCAGCTGAAGTCACACTTTTCTCCAGAGTTCATTAGCAAAAGTTCTGTTTCTCACCTGGCTTTTAAATAAACACAAACAGCTATGCTGAGAATATTGAAACTGTTCTGTTACTCTGTCATTATATTCCTGATAGAAACAGCCAGTTTATATTTTAGGATCTGGTGACATTAACTAAATCCAACAGCTCTTTTTCCATACTACTTTGGCAACTAGGCAGAACAGTGCTTTCAAGCCAACAGAGATGAAGCTGTTCACAAGTTAGAGGCCTACTGCTGGAAACACACAATCTTGTCAAATGCCACAAGCAGACTGGGATTAACCAGTGTCTGCCACTGTCTAAAAAGGACTACAAGCCATGAAGGCAGTGTGCTCTCTTCACACAGATCAGGGCAGAGTGGCTGTCCTTCTGGGGAGTCTGGGAAGAAAGGGGCAAGATGGTTCTCAGCTGTGGTGGAATACTTTATAATCAGAGCCAGATTAACTGTGGCCTTACTCTTCTTCCTCCTGTCTTTTCTCACAACTCCCCCAGAGACAAGCTGTCAGGACCTCTTCTCACTCTGAGCTGGATGCCACTGAAATCTCTGCAAAAACAAAGTTTTGACAGCGATGTATTCTCTGAATATGGGGAGCTTGTTCTGCCCCTGGCCAGTGGCTCCACTCACACCAGGCTGCATGCTCAGTTGACTGCCAGAGTCCAGACCTTTATTATCACCTGCTGCTCTGAGCAGCCCAGTGGGGTTACTGAGACAGTTCCATGCTGCTATTACAGGGTAGAACAAAATACATGATTTGAAACCACATTACTTGCAAGGAATACCTCCTCATTCATTTGATTGTAGGGTAAACTTGTGACTGCAGTCTTGATTTTTCAAGAAACTTTAAACTTTGTGCCTAAAACTATTTGCATTCATAAACTTCAAAGGCATGATAAAAGGCTGAATCTCAAACCAGGCTTTCTGTATGTAATATGCCCTCTGCAAGTCTAAGGTGTTATTACTTCAAAGAAAAAGCATGCATTGTTAATACTGTCACTTGAATTGCAGGGAAGAAATTAATGTTTTATTTTTACTTCATTTTCCCAAAATACTCCCCTCCAAACTTTCATTTATTAGTAGTATATTTTAAAAAGGCAAAGTTAAAGCAGTTCTGCTGCAGCGTAATAGGCTGAGAATCACAGAATGAAAGCCTTCAATGTGATCAGAGTAATGGCTCTTCAGCCTAATGAAGAGTGCTTGTGTTTCAGTGATAATGGGAAGACAGGGAGAAATTCACAAGTGCAGTGCAGGAGCCCCATGAATTAGAGCAGCCAGCAGTTTCTCTCTTCTGGTCACCACATTTCTCATTCCACTTCATCTGTTCATGCAGAAATACAGGTTTCTGATGGTTGCTATTTCTGACACTATACTGAAGCAGAACTCCAAACTACTACAGCCTGTTAACTCTATACTAGTGTTGGACATAACCTAAACCTCCACTCTAAATATGTTTATTTTCAGAGAACCAGCATAACGTGTACTGTGATGACATTAAACATCAGTCTTATAAGATATGCATATTATTGTCAAGGTTATGATTATTTTATGGACTATATTATGGCAGTGATTATATGAATGTAGTGACACTACACAGCCCAGCCTATGTCCTGCATATATGTATATAATTCCTATAAATAAGAATAGCAAACAATTCTTGCTCTGACTCTCGCTGGTCAGAATCCATAATTCTTCAGTGATTATACATACAGTACATGGCAAAATAATTCCAAATGACCAAACATCAGGAAATGAAAACAACCATACCAAGCTCTCCATTTCCCTTGCCTCATCCCTCTTTGTAGTTTAGCAGCCCCTGTAACAACTTGTGTCTTGCAGTGTATTCTGAAGGTCAACAAATTCAAACTGTTTCAGACCAAAGACTAATTTTGTCTTTTCATTGTAGTTCACTTCTTCCACTGCTCCAGTGTTGCCTTTCCATCACTTATAGCTTATCATACCACTACACTTCAAACTCAATCCAGCATGCACCTGGGCTGCTTACACCATAGACTGGAACTGCACAGCTGGAAACTGGAACACACAAAGGTGTTCTTCTCAAAAAAAAATAAAAACAAAAAAAATAGATAGGGGCCACTGAATTCTCCATTTACCTTGGGTTCTCCAGGTTGACATTCTACAGACTCAGACAGCATTCCAGTGACATTGTAAACCATCTCTCAATATAGATTAAGGCTCAGAGGTTAGAAAATGGAGAAGACAGACATAGAGACAAGTAAATAGAAGAAGAAATGCAAACTACTCTGCAAGAAAAATCCATTTCAATTTGTCAATTGCTTAATTAACAGGAGGAGGATCAGTCAAGTTTTTCTGGTTATGAAAGCACGGGAGGTGAGTTTATTGCCTTTTAAACCTTTTAAAGTTAACAACAAGAGATGTAGATGCTTCTATGCAGCATAAGAAACAACATTAAATGAGGTAAATGAGCGTGTTGCAAGTAGTTAACTCAAAGGCAAAGTTCCAGCAGACATGGTGCAGGACCACCCTCTAGCTTGGTATAAACAGAGCAGTGCCTGGGAGCTGGCCAGAAACAAACAAAAAAGACACCCAACAATTTAAGCAAAAGGTAGTGCAGTAGCACCAGAATTCTGGTAGGAACAAAAATAGCAGATGCCTAGATTTGAATTAAGGTTATTATTATTATTATTATTATTTGGCTGAATTTAAGATTCAGAGGAATTTAAGGTTATCTCTCAGATGTAGTACACCAAATAACATCTGAATGGGCTGTGAACCAATTTCTGTACCAGCCATGATCTAATTATATATTCAAAAGAAAGATAAAATGGAAGGCAAATTATTACATTATGGTGCATGTGCTCTTTTTTTTTAAATTTTTTTTTTTTTAAAGATGATTTATATATGCAAGGTCCAGCTTTCAAGTTGTTTTTTTCTTGAAATCGTATCTCCAGTAAAAGCTACAAGGGTGGGAGATAAACGAACAGGGCGATTGTTTCTTCTGCAATGCGGAGCAGAAAGCAAATCCAGTTTAAAAAAAAAATAGATCACTGTGTGGAAAGTCAGCAAGACTAATATGAGCAGGTGTCGCCAATGGAATGACTTCTTTTTTTTTTTATCTTAGATTTTTCAGAAGACCTGAAGAAATCAAACATCTTCTTTATAGTCGGTAAGTAGATTTTTTTGTCTAACTGAATTTAAAAATCCATGGTTTTTCTTAAGCTCTGATCATAAGTATGTGATGTCTTCTGAAGACTAGCATAATTATTTAGCTGAGTATCTACAGTGCAATTATAGAATCAGTAAGACTGGAAAAGGCCTGTAAGGTCATCTAGTTCAACAGACAACTCACCACCACCATGCCCACTAACCTCACCCACAAGCTTCCAGTTCCCTCAGCCACTCCTCAAGACTTTTCACAGCCCTATTGCCCCTCTCTGGACACATTCCAGGGCCTCTATGTCTTTTCTTGCTGTGAGGAACCCAGAACAAAGCACCCCAGGTGCAGCCCCACCAGCACCAAGCACAGAGGGACAGTCACCTCCCTGCTCCTGCTGGCTGCATCCAAGCCAGGATACCACTGGCCTTCTTGACCGCCTGGGCACATCACTTGCTCGTATTCAACCATACTTATTCAGTCTTTAGAAAAGGAATTAGGATGCAATATCACATTCTTAACCTGTGCGTGACCATGCTAACAGTCACCCTGTAAAGTCCTGAGCAGGAGATACATCAAAGTGCAAACTAATGCAAAACAATCATAGTTCTTGTGCAGTCACAGCACTGCTGGGTGACCTCATGACAAAGCTGACTCCCCAGCTTTAGTTGTTATTCATAACTTCAGGTGAAAAATCAGGTCTTTTTGAAACATCTTATGTAAACACAGATTTGACTCATGCATTTCCTTAGTGTGCCATTAACATGCCATTACCTTGCACAATGCTTAGTGTGCAGTGAGGCTTTGCAGACTCAAGGTCTACAGTGTACTTGTTTTCTGGAAGTTCGCTGAGGAGAAACACCATATTAATGTTCAGTATTATACAAAATAAGCCTAAAATAAGCCACAGACACATGGAAGAACCTTTAAAAAAGCACATTAATACTAGAAGATTAACAAGTTCCAACTGAAAGCTTAGTACTAGTTACTCAGAAAGAAACACTGCTTCGTTTAAAATCAAGCAGAGCTCTCCTAAGAAGAACAAAACTCCACTCTTTCATCAGAGCAACATGAAAAGTAGACTTAACCACAATGATCAGTTCATGACTTTATCATACTTAGCTAATGCAATACACAATAGCACATCCAGAAAATTGTCTTTCCTAACAGCATTAGTGGGTACATTATCCCTCCCCATCCTCTCACAGAGTTTTGTAAAACACAGCCACATTTGACTTTGGCTGAAGCTGAAACTTAAGCAGAACATTTCCAGGAATTCTACTGCACCAGAGGCAAACTCCCCACTTACTCTTAAATTTAGTGTTTTAAGGTAAGGATAAATAGGACCAACTTTCCAGCTGGCACTCTGAAGACATGATCTCCACCTACATTTGCAGATAAAATATTATCAGCTGCAAACACTAGCTTCTGCATACGGGGGTGAGAGGGAGAACAACAACAAAACACTATTTGTCCAAGATATATCACTGTCCAAAGACCTTGAACAACCTTATCTAACTTACCAGATGACGTTCCATCCAATCTAAATTATTCTACGGTACTTGGATTAAAGGTCCTTCTACAATCAGACAGGCAGAGCGTGAGCAGTGCTGACAATTTAAACCCAGATCAGCCAAAGCGCCAGCTGTGGAAAAGGATGAAAGCTGCTTTCTCTGACTTTCCATGTAAGGAGAACCTGTACGTTCTCTCTAAGAGAAAAACCTCAGTGATGTCATGGGTCATGTCCCCAGGACATCACATCACTGCCAGCGTGCACTCCAGGATGTCTTCTGGTTAAAATCATTTTTCAGAAAAAAAAGGATTCTATTTGTTTTTTAACGCAGTATCATTCCTATATGGTTTCACTCAGACTAAAATCATACCTGAGCAACAGATGAGGTGGTATTTAGGAGCTTCCAAACGCCATGTTCTGTAGCTTTTTGTGTTTATAAATAAATAATATAATAAATAAATAAAACAAATAATTCAGATAGCATTGCCAAATTCATCAAGGCCCCCAAAATCATAGCCTGAACATTAAGAATAGTTTGACAGATTCTTTTACTTTCAGTTCTGACTTCTAAGCTCCACTGTACAGCTAAGTTTCACCTGCAAGCACTTTCTCATCTTACAAAGTTTGTACTCATTACAAAAAACAAGGCTTAGAAATTAAAACATTTTAAAATAAATTTTGATATTCTTGTAAATCCTGCTGTTGGCATTTTATGTAAATGCCCATACTATTTGGTATACAATAAACTCATAAGACCTAGCAAGCTTAAAACAGAGACATCACAGGCTGTCTGTACAACAGTTCCACTTTGCTAATGCTTCTGACAGCAAAGCCAGTTCACAAATGGCTCGCGTTGCTTATTCCTGACCCTGCTTGCTCCCTGCAGCAGTCTCAGCTCCCTGTACCATCAATTCGTGTTTGTGATCTTGTGCTCCAAACCAGACCAGACCAGTGCACTTGAATTGCAAGCCTGGAATTGCAGTCTTTCATAGTTTGGGGGTGATGAGGGCCTGAAGCAGAGCGAGTGTAAGGCTTGACTTCTTAAACTGAGATCTTTCACAGATCTAGTGCAGGCTGCAGTTAAAAATTCAGAAGTGCTGCTCAGGTAGCAGTCATCTCTCCCCACCCACTGAGACCTCTTTTTCTGCCTTTGAACCACCCTCCACAAAGCACTTCTGCATCCCATAATTAAATTGGGAAAGGTGACCACCTAAGCCAGCAGAGCTGCCAGAAAGTTACTTAAGATCTTCTTATACAGTTTCACAGGCAGTTGAATCAATTTAACATGGAACAGAAACCTGTGCTAAGATGGTGTGCAGACCTTTAAATCATAACCTTGTCTGTAGGAAGAATAATATGCAGAATGGCATGTAATTTTATGCTCAGTGTAGCGCCCAAGTTCTGAGTATTTGCTCACTTTTTGTATCAGCGTGCAGAGAGAGATACAGAGGATTCCAAGGTTAATCTCACAGAGTGATGCCACCATCATTTTCCCATTGCCTTGTTTTTGAGGAGGAAGCTGTGTAGCCAGCTCCAGCAGGAGCTTACAGAGCTCCTGGCTGCCAGGCAGCCAACAGAGCTCCCCTGCTGCACTAACACAGCTGTGACCCTGACCAGGAAAATTAAGAGCTAGTGGAAGCCATCCATGATCTCATCAAGGTCTGTCCAGGTCATCCCATCCCTGGCAACCTCAGGTCTTCACAAGGAGGATTTGGGTCATTGTTGGTCATTAGTTCCCCATAGTCAGTTGCTTCTAGGAACTATGCCGAAGCCCACCACAACTCAAGTTAAAACTCACACACTAATTCCACATTTTCCTACAGGTCACAGCACATTCAGTTTCTCCAGGTATTTTCTACTCTTTTCCTCTTCTAACTTCATGTCATATTTGAAAATCAGAAAAGAACGTGACTAACTCTGAATAGCAAGCTACTGTGAATCAGTCTGTCACAGGTTAACACCAGCTTAGTCCAAAATAGATGCAAGCAGAATAAAAGATGACAACATACCAGAAAATTGATAGTGTTCACAAAGAGTCATACGCCTCCGTAACAAAAACGTGGGCCTATTTTCCTCTTTTGGACAGCTGAGCTATTGTGGAAATTTTGCCACCTCAAGTTTTTTTTATGTTTGAAAAGCAGTGTAACAAGTTCTGGTGAAGGCTTCTCATCTTTGTAATAGCTTTTGTTACACATACTATGCAACTGTTGTTCATTATAGATTTTCATAAATTAGACTGTTTTTCTCAAATTTCTTAGAAAGATGCATAGGTTCAATAAAAAGACCTTCTGAAAGAATGAAGTGCAATACTACAGGTTGGTAAGCCTCATAATTGTAGAGTTTGTGTTGTGGAAGCTACATATATAGCACTCCTTTAAGCACATACCCTGAGCAGGAGGAAAGTACTGTAGTAAGGAAATGCTCTTTACCATCCTTTCCCACCTTGATAGCTCTTTCACAGTCACGTTACATTCCAGCCTTCCGAGGGAGTTAAGATATTAACCAATACTTGAATTTCAGCTAGATAAATTAATGCTGGCATAAGCACTGAATACGTGTTCAGACCTCAGGAATGAGGAAATGCCTGGAGGCATTCAATCTCTTTTCAAATCAGAGAAAACAAGAGTTGCAAGCTCATTTATCACTATGAAAAACACAAGAATATGTGAAGTGGGTCACATACATTTGTCAAGCAATAGGATGCTTTGCTACTCATCAAATGAGGCAAAATTAAGAGTAGTGGCTATAAACATTATCACTTTCACCACATAGCTGTTATTTAATATAATTACATCTTTTGCTCTTTAAAGGGCTCAGCATTTTAATGTCAGCTTTGCTGGAATTTTTCTATGAAAATATACATGGGCAACTTGAATGTTTTGGCAGAATAGTAATACATACTTTGGCATATGTCCTGCATGTTTGATAGCATTCTATTTTAAAATACTAAAAAGACAGAGGTATTACAGAAATGTACTAGCTTTCATAAGTATTTATCTTCAAGCTAAACAACCTAAAATTGCTCTTGTATTGTCATTTCTGCAAGAGATCTAGTTTTATTTAGTATGTGAAGAGACACTGAAGAAGTTACATAAGAAGCAGAATAAAGTAACTTTTATAGCTTTTTTCTTTTTTTAACTTAGCACTGGGTGTACACCAAATAGGTAGCATGAAATGACTGCTCTGTTAGTGAATTAAAGCCGGAAGACAGAATATGTAATCAAGCAGATGCATGCACAAACTTACTAATCTTAAAAAAAAAGAAAAAAAAAAACAACCAACCAAACAAAAAAAAAACAGAACTAACTTATCATTATAGACACTTAGAGGTGATTTGCCCATTGTGGCTCCATATCTATTTCTCTATAGCTAATTTTACACTGACCTTATTTTCTTCCAATGACTGCTTTTACAAAAGATAATTTTTCTTCATCTTAAAGCAATAGAAAAACAATACGTAACCTACACTGGAAGGAAAATAACTGTGACAAAGACACTTCTGGATAAAATCATAGTGCAAGCAGGAATCTCACACCACAAGTTGATAATTATGTTTGTGAATCTGAAGTAGCAGACTGCAGCTTACTCCAGACAAAACTGTTCCTTCCTACCTATTGCCTTATGACCCAAATTTTATTCTCAGCTACAGTATTGTAACATCTCTGAAGATTATTTTCTCAGTGTAGTTATTTCTGAAATTGAATGCCAATTGAACTCTGGTCAGGAAGACATCATGCCAAATTCACTGTATGGTGGAAGCATTAATCCTATGTTCATTCACAGAAAGATAAAGAAGGAAAATCATGTTGCTTAGCATCACATTTTTTCTAGTATCTTAAGTCCACACAACTGATCTAAATAGCCATAGTTCTGAGTCTTGAAATACACACAAGTCATACGCTTAAAAAACCCACAACTACATAGTAAAGCATACTTTTATCTTTAGTTTCGTTCTTCAATCTTAACTCTACCTCTTGATTTCGAGCCCTGTAAGGATACCTGCCAGGGTATAATTACCTCTTACTGCAGCAGTTCTTCTGAATAAATCCATCAAAGATCATAAAAGCATTTCCAACCACCACACATCCAAATCATTTCTCCCCACAATCTCCATTTCCTGATGTGGATTTATTCTCCATGCTTCTCCCCACCTGGGTGCCCACATGGCCCCTCTGCTCCCCCCACAGGTGCTCACCTCAGCTCCTCTGGTCACCACCACAGAAGCAGGATCCATGAGAAATAACTTTCCTCCTCCATAGCAGGAATGGGACAGCTGTGGCTGTTCAGCAGGCAGCTAAGAGGGTGCTGAGCCTTTCAGGAGTGGGCTTCATAGCAATGTGGGAAGAGCAGCCACCTCCTGTGAGGAAATGGGACGGGGCAGTGCCAGCACATAGAGCACAAGGCGCCCACCATCTATGAGCAGACCCCAGAACGGGTACTTGCCAAAGAGGTGGAGTTTGTGCTTGAGGACTCTTGGTGCAGTGGCAGCTGTCCTGATGGAGGACACAGGTGCATCTCCTGAGATATTTCTTTCAGCAGCAGCACCACCTACCCAGCTCACATTTGCTGTCACCTGTGGGCCTCTGGAGGGGGGAGGAGTGCCCAGCCCACAGCTGCGGTGAGCAGCAGGCGCCTTCCCTTCAGCCAGGGGAAGAATCACCTCAGCAGCTTCACCAGAGTAATGGAGTCTGCTCTGACTCAAGGTGGTTTTCCAGTTCTCAGCTAAATACGAGCAGATGCGTGGTGACAAGGTGCCATGCAGAGCACCGAGCCTTCATACCACCCTGCAGCATGCACAAAGAGCAAGACAAATCTGCAACTGCAGGGGCACCCGCATTCAGCTGCTTCAGCAGGTGTACCAGCACCTGTGGGAGCCAGCTAGCTAGAGGGAAAGGCAGCGAGCACAAAAGCCTTGCTCTTGCATTTGCAATAGTGGTTTGGTTGCTCCACTTCCACATGTGTGCCCTGTAACGCAGACAGGTGTCAATGACTCTGTTTATATCTTTCCATTCCACAAGTGGGGGCAAAATATTTCCCTTGCAGGGATTTTACTATATTTTGCCACGTTAGCAAGATCAGCTTGCTAATGTTTGCTGTAACTTGCAAGCCTGAATGCGTACCGAATCCAACACACTACCCTGCTCCCTGTCTGCTCAATGGTTTTCATTGACATGGTAGTTGTGCTTTAGGAACAAATTCTCTTCTGTAAAACATTTCATTGTTTTAACTCCTTAATTTCAGTACACACTTTTTGAGTCAGCGTTGAAGGGAGATATATGACTTGTTCCAGTGTAGAGTCTCTGTGCTTAAAAAACAAAACAAAACATAACAGGCAGTCATCAGTCTTAGCTGCTATAAATTGAGAAAAGGAAGATATTTATTTCTTTGTAATTCTTGATATTCTTCCTCACAAAGGTGGCCCTGGATCTGGCAAAAGCAGCCAATGTGAACAGTTAGCCAAGAAATACGGATTTACTCATCTGTCCACTGTTGAACTCCTCCAAAATGAGTTATCATCACTATCAGAGAGAAGTAAATTTATCAAAGACGTCATGGAATGTGGTGAACCTGTGCCTGGAGTAAGATACAATTTTATTTGGGGTCCTAACAGTTTACAAAGGCAGTAGTACGTAGATGGTTTTAAAGGGTGGAAATAAGAGAATAAGAGATGATTCCTATTAAGGGAAAAGGAATCTGCAACTTGAGAGAGAATCTTCTTCATTGGCAGATATGTGACACTTGTTTCCTTCTTCTATGCCTGAAGTAATTTACATTTGAGCTCTATACACCATATATACGAATCATGAAATACAGCGAGACAGATGCTGTGCTATGCATTGCAATATGTAAGAATAAATACAGGAAACAGAAACTTTATGTACATTTTATAGCTTCGCATTTCAGATTCAGAGCTGTACTTCTAGCAGCTATTCTAATTTACAGTACCTGCAGTGGTTTCCTGCAGAGCTGGCTGAGATCCCAGAGCAGCTGTACTGCAGTTTAATGGAGACCATGAGACAGTGCTGTGCTCAGCTGGACTTGACTTTTACATAGCAGGTCTGCAGCCTGAACTCTTGATGGGTCTTCAGCAAGTGCAGTTAGATTGTAGAGTGTGTTTACTAATGAAAGAAATTGGGAAGTGCTGCTCAGGGGAAACTAAAAGCTATGCTGAGACTTGATTTTGATTGCTTTGCTCCTCAGTGAGATTGATCAGATGGGGTCTCTTAACACTTTCCATATAATATAATTATAACAATGACATAGCAAATGCAATTAGATTAGAAAATGCAGCAGTGGCTGCAGTTTTACAGATATTAAAATTAATTTTGAAACTACAAATATCCTCAACTACTTAGAGGATGGTTTGGAAGCTCAAGGACAGGTTGCAATGCTAGGATTGCAAAACATGTGCAGGTATCAAAGAAAAATACCTGCTATCACCGGATGTGGTTTTAGCAAACCAGATCAGAGTGATTCTTAAGGGCATAAGTCAGTGTAGCAAGTAAAGATACCAACTATTCTTATTAATCAATTAATCAAGTAACTCCCTTTCTTTCCAATGCAGAGTATTGTCCTAGAGCTACTGAAAGAAGCCATGATCACCAGTTTAGGAGACACAAAAGGATTTCTGATTGATGGTTATCCTCGTGAGCTGAAAGAAGCAGAAGAGTTTGAGAGCAAGGTGAATGTGTAGTCAGCTCTGTTACTACTCTTCGTAAGATACAACTAGACTTCTGGTTCTGCTTGGGAAACCACCTTCAATTGATTGCAGTGGGGACTTATAAAGAGCCAATCCAACAGCCCAAAGAATAGTTTTGATGCTGATCATATCACCAATACAGTGACTAGGGCTTTTGCACTTACCTACAGTAGAAAGCTAATTTTAACTAGATGTAATAAATACAAAGAGCAATTCTCACGTAGTTGAAATTATGACTTTTAGCATCTATTTTCTACTTCTAGTGGATGGGGGCTTCTCTTCTCGTGAAAGGCACATGAAGGCCTACGTCACCACAGTTAATTTCTTGCCATTGAGTGACCTTGCTAAAGCTTGCTGCCACTTTGAATCAGCAAATGCTGATAAAGTTTTTGTGATGAGTAACAGGTAGCAGCCATAGAAAGAGTGTTTGGCAAGTGGCTATCTGGCAGTTCAGAGAGTTATTGATTTCCTCAGAATGTGCAAAGACTAACTTAGAAATCTCAGCTATCCATTTCTAAATCTGCAGAAAATACTCTATACAAGCCTGCTGAATGAATCATCATTTTCTTGTAAAAAAAAAATAAATCTGCTTTATTTAGCTGATTACCAGTTCCAATAGACACTGGGACATAGCAAAAGATCCCATAGTCCTAAGCCTTCTTTGATACTTTCAGTAAAATACAAAGACCCCAAAGTTTATCGTTGAATATGCCGTTATACCTGTTGTGAATCAGTGCATTCACTTCAGTCTTCACAGGGTAAATTTGCCTGCCCAGAAATTCTATAGTGTTTTTTTTTAATGAGTCATTATTGAGATAATGCTCTGCAGCTCTTTCTGAAGGTGGTCAGAAACTCTTCCTATGCTATAATTGAATGAAATTAGATGGAGCATAGGCTTTATGTATTAATGGTGTCAAAGTGCTTATGAATAATGCTACATATCTACATGATGTGCAAAAAGCACTTTAATTGTTAACAAAGAGATATTCTATTTAGAAGACTTTGGAAATAGTGCTTCTACTTAAAAGCCTGACAGCTCTAATTAGAATTAGCTGTAGAAACAGCTTATTCTCTCCTAAGTTTTGCCCAGTGCCTTTCTAAGAAAGAAATATATACATTTTTTACTAGCTGTAATTTTAGAGAAGCAAAAGTTTGCAATCCTTTGTTTCCTCCTCAATCTTTCTATTATATGTGAGAAGTAGAAAACACTATGAAATACAAATTCCACATTACCAGGTTCAGTAGCTTCTTTAAAAAATAAATAAATAAAAATTGCTATAAATTCGATAGGGACATTACTTCTACCTTTTGCAATTTTTAACACTTAAGAGTGATGTTTTTGTAATGTGTTGAAATCAGGAGAATACGAGTATTGAAACCTTTACGAGAACCACATAGGTTTTTCAATAGCAAATCAGTCAGTCAAACAAGATACTATTATTACTCATTTATACCATTAGACAAGATCATGAAATTCCTAATGAGGAGCTGGGGGAAAATAAATTCCCACCAATTAGACAGAAGGGCATTTGTTGAAATCACTGATTAAGCCCACATATCTTTTTAACTTCTCAGTTCAAATCTCTGCACTGCTAAAACTGCCTTGCTTGCTTTTTAAATCCCCAAACCCAATACTGCTGCTGCTAATGCTAATGGAATTAATGTTTTCTGAGCTGTGTGGAAAAAAATGCTTGGAAAAAAGCCTGTCATTGAACCGTCCAAAATAATCCCTTCAATTCAGCTGTCTCTTAGAAAGACATTATGGTAGTAGAAAGGTCAATGCAATCCAGCCATCCCCAGTCAAATCCTAACATGAAATATTTACCTATAGAATATTTCTTCTTTTATGAAATGCAAACTGGGGCAATGATAATAATTTCCATGCATCAGTAATTGAGATTTACTTTGCTGTAACCATGGAAAAAACATGAATTTCTAATGGTCATTAGTGGGAAAAACAGTCATTTTTTCTAAAGACTTCTTTCTCAGTTTTTCCCAATACGATGTTCTCCAATCCCTGCTGGAAGAAGTGAGAAAAAGCCTGAAAGCATAATTGAAATCTTCAATACATATCTGCACAGAAAAATTATTACGTGATTTATCTCCAATCCTATAGCACTTTTGTTTTACTTGCTAGAGTGGAGTTTATTGCTGTACACTCAGGTCAACAGTTGTTGCTCAGATAAAACCTTGTGTCAGACAGAGCTGTGCCTGAGCAGGCTGATTTATTCTGAATGATATCCATATTTTTATCTGCTTAAAGAAAGAATGATGGAGATTTGTGGTTAGAGCTTTTGGCTGTCTCCCGTTATCAGGAATGTATTGTTCTTTCCTGCAAGTTATTTTTCATCCATAAAGTACTAAGCATATACTATCAAATGTAGATAGAGACAGTTCTAGTTTTGCCAAGGCTGGAGAATAAAAATAAATAAATCTTTACTTACTTGTTTATATAGAAAAGGGCAGACTTTCTTTCAGGATGAGGCTGATACTAGCCATAAAACACTAAGTGGTTGGCTTCTCATTGAATTTGGAAATGATTAACCTATTTGAAAATGCAAAGTAGTATATAAAATCCCAATACAATTATACAAATCAAATACAATCAGAATATCCTGAGTTGGAAGTGACTCTTAAAGATCACAGAGTCCAACTCCTGACTGTGAGTCCAGCTTTTATCAAACAACTGCAAATAATGAACATATTGATGAGCTTCAAGACAAGCAGCTAGAATTTTCAGATCGTATCTCTTTTTCTCTGCATGCATACAGCCCAGTCAAGTCTTGATCCTGAAAACTAGGATCTCTAAATGCTGCTACAATAAGAGGTGTTAATAAGCATTATTTCTGCCTACAGTAATAAATAATTTGCTAATAATTTTCTTGAAGTCTCCTTTGGTAGAATTTCCAAATAAAACTGTTTGAGTACTGGTTTGAGTACTTTTTTTTTTTCTTTGTTTCTAGATTGGGGAACCAAAACTCGTGATCTGTCTGGACTGCTCTGCAGAAAGCATGAATAGTCGCTCTTTGATGAGAAATCAGGCCAGTCAGCACTTCGATAGTGCTGAAACCATCAAGGAAAGAATTGAAGGCCATTACCAAGCAGCAAAACCTCTGACTGCATACTATGAGAGAAAAACACAGTTACGCAAGGTAAATTGATTGAAATTTTGAATTAAATTATTGCTTCTTTCTTCCATTATATAAGCAGCATTCAGGAAACAACTGGCACACCGTTTATGAACTGTATTAGTTTTTGCACTTTCCACTTTGATCTCACCTTCCACCTCCGTGGTTTGTTTCCAACTTCTGCTGACTTCTGAGTTTCGTGGTACAACTTGAAAGAATAAAAAGACAGCTTTATCCTGAACCTGACAATGCATCCTGAATCACTGCCTCATCTGTATAGAATCTTAATTAACATCAACGCTGAAAGCGTTTAGGTATCAGGCTTTGTTTCTCTATAAAGGCTTTCATGATTAGGTTTAAAGGTTATGTTAATCTGAAGTCCCTTAGTTACATTTACACAACTGACACTGTATATCCTGAAATAAAACAGACCTGCACATAATACCTTTTAGCTGGAATAAATGACATACTTATATTAATTTCAGTTAATTACTTCAGTTTATGCTGCTGACAATGTGATATTTAAAGCATTTTTATATTCTCTAATCAATACTTTGCAGAGAAGCAAGTAAGCTTACATCAATGCAATTAACTGATGGATATGTTGGCACATCTGTAATCTCATTTATATGGGAAGTCTACATCTAATTTTCTGTATTTCCCTGCTCCATCACAGCAAATGTCAATTATGGTCAACTGTAAAAAACTAGTCCTGCTGATTCTTCTTGTCCTGAAATGTACAGAAGCCAAAAATACTTCTTGAAATATTATGGAAGCTTTCTTCTAGAGGATGTAGCAAATATGCAAATCACCAATCCCAAACCATTCTCCTCTGCAAAGTATCCAAACAATAAACATGCAGTTAATTTGTGCACCCACATCTTGACCTGAGGAGAGAGTAAATGATATGGTCCTGAGAAAAACAACTGATTACTAAAGGGAAAGTCCTGTTTGGTGTCCTTTGCTAACCCCATAAGAACTGCCCAGAAGGCAGAGGGGAAGAAAAAAATCCACATAATTTTTAAAACTCAAGAACCTAATTATCTGGTTTTAATTCGGTTTTCTTTCCTTATGAACTACCTTGCCAACATTGCAAGGCTGCTTTTAATTAAGAATTCGGTATAATACACAATATACTAACACAGTGCAATTTAAAAGGAAATTGGAGCTCTCTTTACCTCCAAAATCTTACAGCAGCGAGCTGTAGCCACCATGTTTCTCTTTCTTGAAGCCTTAAGCAATTGACAGCCCCCAAAAGAATGAATCTACATTAAACACGTAACACATAGATTTTTGCATTTACGTTCTACCGTATTTCACTTGACATGAATTCTCGTTGGAATTCCTTAATACTTCTACTGTATGTTCCTTCTTTATATCTCCTGCAATCTATGCAATGACAAAACACGCAGTCTTTTCCTACAAGTTTATAGGTCATTAGTTCCTCAAGGGACTTATCTACTCTATGGGTCAGAACCGGATGTGTTCTTTGCACTCTTTCACCATTACTTTTGTGGGAAGTGACATCATGTGTTTGCATGTCAAAAATTAATCATGCTTTGCCTGAACAGTGCATACACTGTTTTTTCTTACAGTGTCTGCACAGTATCTGTACTTCCTTCTGATGAATGTAGGCGTTTAGCAAACTTCCATCCTCTGAGTGTGGAACTATTGGGTATGAAAGCTCAGTAAAATCAGCTTTAATCACCATTGTAAAATGTCCTTTTAAGGTTGAAAAATGGTTCTATTTTCTTGAACGCAGGTACTCCATATAGATATGTCTACCTCATCCCCTTTTTACTAAACTGAAAAATACGTATCTGCTATCAAAGATGTGCACCCATTTTAAATCTAAGTAGGGAGACCTCCCTCATACTCCAAACTCTTATGATGTGAACAAGTATATGTTCAGCTATTTATCAGCATTTGGAGAACACTGCAGAAAATATTCAGCAAAAGTCAGCTTCTAAAACCAGGCCTCCCAGATTATTCTTCAATTTTGGAAATGTACCAAATATTTTGAAACAAAGCCATTTTCTTCTTGAAGGAATGCCTGTATAAGAAATCCTGCTTGATAATTTTCGTGGATAAGAGATCCCAGATAATTTACTCATACAGTCTGACTTGGTCAGTCACACGACTCAAACATTGCGTCTGGTGTAGTGGCATCCTTCCACTGCCCTGCCTTTGTGGAGGGCCTGTGTGAGCTGTGTGTCCCTGGAGAATCCAGTCAGGTCTTCCTTAGGAATCCATTGGGTGTTGAGATTTTTTGAGGAATCTTAAGAGCCTAAATCCCACCTAACTGCCATTGAAATTCAGCATCAACCTTTTGTAGCCACCATACTGCAATGTGTGACTAAGCACAGTAATAATTCTAAATGCAGTGGTGTTTTTTTGTCTTGTAGGGCTTAATTATAGCAGTCAGTTCCTGCTTTGTCACAGAGGAGAAAGTCACAATTGTTAAATAGATTTAATTAACAAGAAAATTGTTCTGGCACATTGGTATGATTTGATTGCTCCATTTTAAGTGTACTTAGAGTTGGGCAGTTTTCCACGGATTGGTGGTATGTGGCACATGGCAATGGTGGTATGTGTTTGACTTGTCCAATCCAGCCTAGAAGTTTTCAGCAGGAAATCAAATATGCAAATGTAAAATTCAGACCTGGGCATAAGGCCAGAAAAGGGTTTGATGTGGAGATTAAAGGCTTGATATGCACTCAGTGGAGGAACTGGTTTGTTGAGCCGCATCAAGGTGTGCTTGAGACCACGCTGTCAAATTAGCTTGCTCATTCCTTGTGTGTGAAATGGCCTTACGCATGAGTGGCAGGAGCCTCCTCAACCCACTGCAGACAAAAAAATTCAAGTCTGACTGAGCTTTGTCTGCAGTCTGCTGTCTCTTTGCTTTATTTACATGGAAAAGACAAAGGTACGTGGTTGCAACAGCATTCTCATTTTAAGCAATGAGACTTTGATGACATCCTCTAAACCCAGAGTTATTGTGCATTGATGCACAATAAATAACTAATCTGATACATGGAAATGAAGCATTTTTCCATTCTGCTGATCTCTGAACAAGAATGGTGACCTGACAAAGCTACCAGAAGATCAGAACTGTTTCAAATTTCCCTTTGTCCAAAATTACCTGTCAGTGTTTTGACAGAGCAGTGCAAGAACAAGATATGCACAAAAGGTGGAACCTTTGTATGCAGATGAAATATCTGTGAACATGACAGGAATAAACACTGGTGGATCTTCCAGCCACTCATCGTAGGAAGACCTGTGATCTGTTTACAAGGAAAGGGGGAAACTGACAAAACTGGCAAAGACAGCGTCCTCTGCACCCTTTTCTGCTGAAGCAGATTGTAAACTATGTTTTGGAAGGCAAAGTAGTTGTAACTATGAGTTAGGATATTTCCAATTACTTTAAAAACTAATCATGTTGAGGAGATATAGTTTCTTTTTTCATGATTGCTTTTATGGTCAGCTACAGAACATCCACCTGTTGCTAATGACAGGTAGATGCTTTTTAACAAGGAGCTTGCTGGGAATCTGAGTGCTCACAGAAACAACAGTTGTAAGTTACCTAATTGTGTGGGAAGCAGATGTTTCAGATGGATGAACTGTATTATGACAGCTGTAGGAAGCAGGTAGATATTGTTGTTTTAAAATTTATTTCTCAGTAACTTCAAAGGCAGCTGGACAGAAAAGTGTGTTTGAAAATGTAGTAAGCATGTACTTGTGTTTTAACATGCCTAGATTTAAATATCTTTGAATGTCAATTGAGAAGAAAGGAAAGAAAAAGATTGCTTTTAATATTTGACTCATACTTCAAAGCTTTTCTCAAGTGACAGTAGGTAGGAGGTAATAAGTAATACAGGAGAGCAATGCTTTGCTAGTCAAGCAAGACAAGACCGATCCTTATGAACCTAACATCAAAATAGAAGGTGTCTTAAATACAACTTTCCAATTCAAACAGTCATCTGAGGAAAAGTAATATTACTATAAGAAACAAGCAAATCCCAGAGCAGGTTTTCAAAGATGTCCAAAAACCTTAATTATTTCAGATTGCACAACACTGTAGTAGATTCAAGTCAAAATGCATTCCCTTTTCTCCTCCTCTTTGCCTTCTTCTTTTTCTTCTTTTCTTTTTTCTTTTTCTTCATTTTTTTCCCTTTCTCTTTCTTTTTTTTCTTCTTTTTCTCCTTCCTCATAGTGTTGTTACAGTGTTGGGTTTTTGTTTTTTCTAAAATCAGGTGAAGTTACATACTGGCTAAGTAGAAACTATTCAATTCTAATCACAAACATTTCCTGTAACCATTATGAAACAAACACAACTGTAAGCAGATGGCCACACTGAATCAGCAAACACCCACCACCTCATGGCCTTCCATTTCTGAACCTTCTCATGCTAATATCCCCTATTAGAAGTTCCTCTAGGGAGGGGCAAAGTGAAATTTTCCCTTTAGAGAAGGGATGATCAATGGTTATAGTGACAGTAGATGTGTAATTTAGTTCCATCTTTTGAAAGTCATCAACCCCAGCAGATAAGGACTTGAGGAACAAAAAACCCATGCATTTCTTCATCACTCCCCTTGGTGGTTTGGCCCATTAGATGATAAACCAGCGTGGAAAAGTACATCAGAAACATCAGTTGTAGGGTTACAGATAATACATAGAGGTAAGTTCACCCCTAACATGAATAGGGGCAGCAGCATGTCTCCCCTGGATTTCTTACTTAATGACAGAGATAAAAATGTTAGCAACAACACAGCTGACCTTGACTAACTGCAACAAGAAGCTTCTAACCACTGAGTTTATTCCAGTCTTGGTCTGACTTTGTGACAACCACAGTCCTCAGCCATCCTCTCCTCAGTTTCTTTTCAGTGGCAGTATATATGTAGGGTTCTAGACTCCCAAACATACAAGTGGAGATTTGATGACAGTAAATGTAATTAGCTGATTTTAATCCTAGAATGAGCAACATTGTATTATGAAGAGGATTATTTTAATCATTTCAGATAAGCTCATTACACTGTTCCATACTAGAAGTTATCTAGAGCCATACTGACATTCCAGAACAAGAAGCACTACATAAAACAGAATCTAGATCTTGCTTTTGACATAAGAACATAGCCTTGAATAACTTTGAAAACAGTCATGGTTCATGAGTTGTTTTATAATCTGAAGAATACAGTTTTCTCTCCTGGAACTGCAGAGTGCCACTGATGCTGTACTGGCTGTGAAGTAGTGCCACATTAAGTTAGTTTTGTAGTACAATGTTATGTTAGCTTTATGAACTGGACTTTTGTTATTTGGGAGGCCATCACAGGAAGCACCGGGCTGCCATCAAACTTGCCCATATTCTTTCTACTGTGACTGTTAGGAAGGCAGCATTCCAGGCATAAAAGGGCAGCAATTTCCAAGCTCATTAATCTGATTTTTCCCCATAGCTGCTTAGACCTAGAGCTGAGTATCAATCCCAGTTCTAGAAAAGGGCACTGAGACACCTGTGCACTGATGAGGCTAAGTTGGTAATCCAACTGCATTTATGGAATTCAGCTGCATTTATGGAATAGAGATTAAAAAAGAAACCAACATATTAAGAGAGGAAAGGATGCATATATTCATCAAATACGCATATGTTTATATACATAAATGTAAGTCTATGCAGAAATTGTATGTATATATGTGAGTGTATTTGACAATCTATGTAAGCTCAGATATAAGTGAAGTATCACATTTAGTACTAAACACTTTTCTGCACTTTTCTTCACTATTGGAGCTGTTTAGGAGGAGCCACCAAATGCTCACAACAGGCTGGCATGCACCCTGCAGCTCCAGCACAGATAACCATTACTTGTAGGAGCTGTAGAGAATACGTTCACATTTTTTACTGCCTCAGGCTCAGAGCTGTCTGTTCAAGGCAGCATTCACACAGTGCTGTTTAATTCCCTGCAAGCCACAGCCCCATTATGTCAGCTTTCCAGGAAGAATCAGAGGAAGAGGAGGGCAGCCATTTCCACAGACGTGGAGATAACATCTTGAAGAATGCCTGCCTAATGTACCAGTTATCAAGCCGTAATCCCACACGCTTCATCCAACTGTATGGCAGAATCATTTTGCTGTGCTACACAGGTGTGACTGAGCTGAACAGGAACAAAGTATCTGCCCAGGCTGACCTGGTTAGCCTGGCAGGGAACAGGCTGTCTGCCATCAGGTTCACACTGCCCTCGAAGGATTAGTCTCACCTGGTTGTCATCAGACCGGAAGCGTGTGGGTTGAGTGCAAACGGCTATACAGGAGCTGGCTGCAAGACAATGCTGGGTCTGAGGGGAATTTCACTGCCTATTTCAAAAATGCTCTCCTTGAGTTTGAAGTTCCTTTTCCCCTGCAGAACAAAGAGGTGGCAGAAAGCACGATGGGCCGGAATGTTCTCTTCAAACACGACAGCTGTCTGGCATCCTAGCTGGCACCTTGGAGATAAAAATGCAGCACATAGCTCAGAAAAACAGGCTTCAGGCAACTTGTCATGGATCTAATTAGAATACGTGCAAAATACAGCATGCATGCGTGGAAAACCACGCGCAGCAAAGCAGAGAGGAAACAAAATTTTGGGTACAGAATTGCCAGACCCTCACCAAGGAGGAACTGTTCCATGTGGGAGGAACTGAATACCAACTGGGTGCAATGAGTACGGTGCGCATAGCCAGCAGGAAAGCTGTTTTTGCCACTACGGTGAAGACAAAAGTTCACCTTCCCTAAGCACTAACTAGTTGCATAGGATGGGCGTGAAACTCATCGCCCAAAAATCCTGATGCAACGTTATGTTTTGTAGGTAGCACACAGAAGCATTAGTGGCTGCAAGTGATCCCTGTCACTACAGTGCAGTACGCTGTTCCTCAAACAGAATAACAATTTGGCCTTGTTTTTGTTGGACTCAGTTCACAAAAAAATAACATCAACGTCCTGGAGAACTTCAAGTAAAAACAAAATCTTTGCATTATAAAAAAATCCAAACAATGTCAACAAAAGGTTGTACAACAAAATGAATGCTGCCTAAGGGAACCAGAGCCAATTCAGCAAACTTGAAAATAAAGAGACCCAAAAACAGACCCATGGCAGCTCACTGTCCTTGGGTCAGACACAGCATCTCACACTCTGATGCTTTAGACGACAAAGAATAAACTAACAAGTCAATACTATTCATTTAATAGTAGAGCTTCAAAGTTATTCTATTAAGGTTCTTTTGGAGGGTAGCACACGTTAAAATAGTTTCTGATGATCTTTGAAAGTTTTCTGTATATCAAAGATGTCATTTTACTTTAAAATGAGTACTCTGGATAGAGAGCTTAAGCTCCCTCATTTGATCAATGCTCTTTGCTTCAGACAAGAGAACTTTCAGATTCTTCTCATGTCAATCTGCGCTGGTCGCTGATATGTATGGAAGTTGTTCCTCTGCACTGTTTGTAACATGAAACAGAACTTCTCTGTTATACTAGACCTGTGGTTTTTGTTTTTTTCTTTGTGCTATTTTAAGATAATCCTTTATAACATAGTCAAAAGTATTGCTTTTCGTCTCCTTGACAGGTTGATGCAGAAGGAACAGCAGAGGATGTTTTTCTGGAAGTCTGCAAGTCAATTGACTCTTTTCTGAACAAGGAAGAAGCAGCATTTTCAACAGAAACACAGTAGTGGTGTATACACTGCGTGTGCACGTGGCAGCCATGAATAAAATGCTCCTCAAAGCAATACTGCTTTTTTGGGAGATCTCTGGAATTTGTGCATGTGGTATGTTATTTTGGATGAAATCTTCTCCTCCATTCAGACAACACACTTAATAGGAAGCAGCCTGTATGCTAACTTGCACTAAGAACCGTACATTTCATTGGTTGTTTGCTCTTCATGGGCTAAAAGCAGCATGGTGAACAGAGCTCTGGTTTGTATTTCATCATCTTGTATATTTGATGGGAAGTCAGACACGTTGCCTGATCAGCAGTGAGCTCTTCAACCACTTACTCACTGTATTGTAGAGCAAGAATGCTGCATACAATTTTCTCACTGGTTATTACTTTGATTAACACTATTAAATTTTTGTGGTATCACTTAGCTTGTTCTTGGTTTCTAGTGACTGAATCTGTTCTCTGTTCCATCCCACTGTAAGACAGCTGGAATTAGTCAAGCTAGATGTTTAAACACAGTTTCCAGCCATCCCCAGAATGTTGTTATAACAGGAGTAAGGAAAAAAAATAATGAAGATATGACTGAATATGGTGTCAGTCTGCTGACCCACTGCCACAGAGAGACACCATGTTTGAGACAGCCCCATCTTCTGTGAGAAAAGGTGGGGTGCTAAGAATCATGGCTTCCTAATTTTGTAGACTGAGTTGAAAACAATGATTGCATAGCATCATTAAATGTGCAATTTGGTAAATATTCACAATAACAGAGTTTTAATATATTGAAGTCTACATAGAAAGTTGACCATGAACCAGTGTATGAAGACGCTCTTAATCTACGAAAAGATGACAAATGCAAAATTCAGATCATCATCTGTTGTCCTGTACTGACATTGCCAAAACTTTGAAAATGACAGAGGAAAAAAAAAAAAGGGATCAGGGATTATTTGATTCATCTTGCTTGCTTTTTTAGTAGGCTATATCCATAATATGTGCAAAAAAAAAAATCTGTAAATATTCTATTGTATTTCCATTAAGTTAACTGAAATACTGTAGCATTTCTTTGGTTTACTGATAACTAAATAAAAGCTTGTTTGACATTCCTGTCAAGTTGCACCCTTTACTGGAACCGCTGGACACGTTCAGTTGAAGCGGGCTGCATGATTGCTCTCTGTCAAAGTTGTACTCGATGCGGCAGATTTGTATTTTTAAAGTTACTTTTCTTGTAATGAGGACATAATACAAATAAAACATACAAAAATGAGAAGTGATCATTTGTTATAATTTATGTGGGTTTAATCCTTTTTAAAGCACAGTACATAACTTGAAAATATAGCTCAAATTAGCATGCTTACAAAGTAGGTCCTTTTTTCACTCAGGGCAGGTTCTTCTGTTTTCTTTCGCTTCCTTGCATTTGCCCTGTAAATGCTAATTCAGTTATTTTTCAAAGGAGTGTACTAGATATGTTCTTATCCTTCACATCCAGGATGTTCCTCCTTCCCTGGGTCCTTTTATAGACTACATTTTACCTCTGATGCTCTAGGAAATGCTTTTCCAGCTCCAGAACAGTGGCATTACGTGACCAGTAACATCTGCAGTACAACAGCTTTAAGCAAGTGACTTTCATAATTCACCAGTTGGAAAAAGGCAGGTTTTTCTACAATGAGCCTCAAAGCACCAGCAGCTGTATTGTGCAGTACTTAAGAAAAATAAGATTAAAAAAATCTGCAGCCACCCTGAAGCTGCAAATTCATCTGGGTAGCTTTTTAGAGTAATTGTTTTGTTACTTGTAACGACAACACAGCTTGAAACATGTGGAGTATCATTATTGCCAGGATAAGAATAAAAGCAAGAATCAGCTGCTAATTAAAAACAAATTAAAAAGGAACATTATTTAACATACAGTTCCAGTTTACTGCTTTCTGCTTTTTCTGGTCTTTTTTTCAAAAAAAAAAAAACAAACAAAACAACCAAAGAATCCCATGCTCGATCGGGCACATGTGCGTTAGAAATCTACTTGCATTTGTCCATAATGTATGCAAGAGAAATAGCTGTATATGCATGCATATGGAAATATAAATATTTATACACATTCAATTAGAAAAGGACTTATCCAAGATGCTTCTTTGCTAAGCAATTCAGATTTCAAATTCTCCTTCTGCTTCCAATCTCATTCAAAACACAATACGGATTTTCTTCTTCCAAAGCTATCTCAATCAATGCCTGGATATTTGCATTTAATCACATGCTCGCTAATTTCTGCTACTTCCTTCCAATTATTTTTTCAGGATATCAACAGAAAAGCAGATTGCTGCAGATTCTCTCCCTGATAATACATCTCCACCTTACGAACAGCATAAATGGTCTCACATCCCCTCATTGCACGAGAGATTTTCAGAGCTTCTTTTGAATTAGAGAGGAAACTGAAATACATCTCGTGAATGTTTCTGTTGTATTTCTAAGGTTTATTAAATTTATCTAAGTATACAAGATACGTGAGATGTTTACACAGGATGCTTGCTCAGTGTTCTAGTAACCGTACTCTATTACCTTCTAAATGGATTAGATGCTTAAACTTACTTTTCTCTGAGGCAGAAAATGCCTACACCCACATGTCACTGCGAAAGCTAACACCGATCAGGCTATAATTAAAGTTCTTAGGTGCAGCCAGCCAATTACCCTTCTTATTGCCATTTTAAAGTCAAATTACTTGGAATATTCAAGTTTTAAAGCAACTGGAAGTCTACTAGTTATAAAATAATCAAGTATTTCTGAATCACCAGCTATACATTTCAATAAAAAATATATTAACTAAAGATATGTCACAGTAATTACAAAGCTTCTCAGATGATGGCATACAGTGTACCAAAGCTACGTAGGTCTGATCTGCTGAAATCTGAAAGAACCAAGTACGAATAAGACAGGAGAAAACTAAAATGCTAATCCTGCAAAGGGCAAAGCACAGTTCAGTGGGCGCAGAACACCACCGGTTCCCACTGAACTCACAGCAGAGGAAGGTGCTGTCATCTTGCAGGTCTGCATAGTGAATATTTGTCCTTTTCATGTTCTCAATTCTGATTAAAAAGTCAAAACTACACAGAAAGGAAGTCACAGCAAGCATTCTATATATAAACAGACTGTATCCACATAGTTTATTTCTCACAGTTCTCCTGACAATTGAACATTATTTAAGAACATACTGTATACACAGATAAGAAGAAACATACAAAATGTTTTAAATGATGCACAACAAAATCCAGCAGTATAAAAGAATGCATGTGAACCCTTGCTCACTGCTCAGGTTAAATTTAATCACTGTTTAAATAGTAATAAAAATACAATCTTTCATGGATCTTGTGCAGACTACAAAAGAGGAAAAATTATTACCATATATATGATTTATATTAGGCAGTTTTCTTTGATGAGTTGCACTAACAACTCCAAATACAGAGGCAGAAGGCTGTGTATTTTATTTTAAAGGAGTTAATGTTGAGTATTAGAGACTTTACACAGTTACTACCACTGGCACTTTTCACCATATTTTGTACACATCACATGATCATCTTATATAACATTACATTTAAAAAATATATCTGAGTGATAATTTTATAACATTCACACACCATGAGCTGGTTAAGGAAGCAATGCCACAGTTGCCTCCCCTAGTGCTTCACTGTTGGTAAATAGAGTTCATCGTGGTTTAAAAATAAAAATAAAAAAAATTGAAAGTCAATGTGATTAAGCAGCTCCGATTTAATAAAGGCCTGTAACCAACCATCGCTGAGACAGTGAGCATTTTTTAGAGTACATCCTAGAAGCAAACACTGTCATTGGTTAAAACCTTGCCTAAAGAAGTCAGTTACTGTGCTGAAAACTATTTCACAACAAAACTGCAAGCTACTAAACTGTTTTTTATATAAATACTTCATCTCCTCTGGATCTCATTATAACCGAGTTCTTCAATGCCTTTGGAATTTACTCTATCTTCAATGTGTGCTCTCATTTCTGGCTCACCCTTTTGTATGTTTTTCTTTTGTGTTTAGATTCACCACCTAAAAATGACTAATGTGGTGAAAGAAAAGTCTCCCAGTGAAACCTTCTGCACACTAGGAATGTTCAGCTGCTGTTCAGTGATCTAGGACCATGACAGCTCAAAGCTGTAGTTTGACAAGTACACCCAGGAAGCTGTCATGCTGTGAGCGACATTTCAGGGAAAGCAGACAGTCTTTCCAAAATGTGCACAGTATTAACAATGGTGCCATTGTTATTTTTCAAATAGTATAGTAAGCCCAAGATTGTAGATCTGCTTCCCATGTCATCTATTTGCTGGAAAGTAGTTTGGGTCAAGATAATTGTAACTGGTGCCCTGGGACATGCAGTAGTCTCTGTCTAAAAACGTCTCTGCTCTGTAAATAGGTTCTAACTGATGATCCTCCTTATGAATCTCTGTTTCATGCAGACTGCAAGGGAAAGAAAAAGATAACAGTTTAAAAGTTAAATACTTTCTTATTTTTAAGTTTCAGAAATACTGATCACATTAACAGAGTCATACCAAATTTGACACTGAAAAATTATTTCACAAATTACAATTTCCCCCACTACTTAACAGTACTAAACTGAATCTGTCCACTGCATTGTTATTTAAAATATTTCTTAAGCATGTCCTAGATGCATACCTCCCACAAATATATGCTAAAGAATCTTTCACTTCACTCAACTATGCTTGAGTAGATACCCAACAGGCACTGCAATTAAGCCACACATATACTCATGTTAATTACAAAAAACAAGTAGAGAAGAATCCTACTCACCAGTCAGAACAAGAGTCACAGAAATCCAAGGACATTTCTTGAGGACAGTCTTGGCAGTGCCACCGAACACCCTGAATAGGTTCAATTCCGCAGTTATCACACTGTGAAGCAGATTGAAGAGTACTGAAGAAAACCAACTGCATTCACTTCAGCCAGTAACAGTATATATCAATATGCCACATATAAAGGCACAGATGTAGGTCGATTACTGCTTGCATGCACAGCTGAATTCTTCTCCTCGCAGACCATAATGTGTTCATGGATAAAGAAGTCATCTCAGAGACACGTCCTTCTCCCTGAGGACTGATCAACCTTTCTCTTTGCTTTGCTTCCCACTACCTGAATGCCCCACACATCGACACTGTTCTCCTGCTCAACAAAAGCACACCAAGTCCTGCCTGTAGTCACTGCTTATCCTCATATGGCTTAACGATGTTTCTGTAGCTTAAGTCCAACCATGTGAAATATCTTAACACAGATCCACTTTCCCCTCAGAGCAGGGAATAGTTAAGTGCAGCTGAATGGAAGAAGAAAAGAAAAACTACAAACGGAACAAGAAGAGGGAATGAAAAGTTCATGACTTTGGATAGGAGGTGCAGAAATGCAAAGAGATTCGATTCTAAAAAAGATAAAACTTAGAAAATAGGACTTTGAGGCAAGAACTTCTCAAAATCTAAACCAGGAAGAGTGCTGCAGGGACAGGACAGAAAAGGAAAGAAAAATGTGGGAGCAATCTTGTGCTCACTTAGCTTATTCTCCTTCATTTAGGACATGAAGTGCTCTGAGAGAGCTTTGGGTACCATCTGCGAAACTCACTTGCAGAGTGATTTGCTCCTGAGCACAATCAACTCAGGGTCACAAACACCTTATTAATAGACTGTCACAACTGTATTCCCTGCTTTCACAATGACAGCTTTCAGAGCGTGAGGGCTGATAAGAAGGAAGTTGTAAGCATACTTAGGACTTTTCTCTGAAAACAGAGAATTCAATATAATGCTATATTATAATAAAAAATGAAAAATCCAGTTTCAGTTATCCCAAGTTCAGAGTCAAGAATAATGGAAACCCATAACCCTTCTGTGCTCCAGCTTCCTGCTCCTCTGTGAATCAGACATAATACCATACCTTTCATTTTATTAAAAAAAAATAGTATTTGCAAAGTATTTTGATACTAAAGTGATGAAAGCTGTAAAAAGCCCACATGTGATTCAATAATTCAATATTCAAAGAAAAGAAATTGAATAATGTGTTCTAATTGAGGCTGAAGGCCATGCAGAACTAAGTGTTCTGAAGAGATGCTTATTAGGTGACTATTGTCCAGACCATGTACTAAGCAAGGCAGCACTCCTGAGGGAAAACTGTATATAATCATGTAATTTCACAGATTATAATGCATATTAAAAGCAAATTGGAGTTGCAAAGAAACTTTCAAACTATTAATGCTTGACAGTATATA